CCAGCTGTGAGTTCTAGCCCTCACTTCACCCAATACAGGCATCCACTTCCTTAGAGATTCAAGTGTTGAGGGGGGGAGCGTCCACCTTCCCAACCTTTAGCTACTCAGTTACTGAGGTGTTTAGGCCCTCAGATTCCTGAGCATCCAGAAAGCGTTGGGCCACCTCTCAAGCCAAAGTGCCAGCTCGCAAGCCCGTCCATCCCGAGGACCCAGAAACTCTGGTCCCCAGCGTCCTCCTTCCTGAGGCTACGGGAGTCTAGGCCCTAGTCCCCTCTTCCCTTTGGTCTGAGAGTGTGGACCCCTGGGGTCCAGAGAGAAGGGAGGGGGTGTGTCAGATGCTCACCGTGGTGACTTGGGCTTGGGCGGGACCTCATGAGTCACGTGGAGTCTAGGGTTAAGGAATGTGCCCCAGGAAGAGCCCCTTACAGTTAGGTGGTGAGGAGAAAGGGATGCACTGCGCAGGGGGCGGGGTGTGTGGTAATTACAGAGGAGTTAAAGAGCTGTCATTTTTTTCTCTCACCTACCCAACCCTCCACCTACCCTGTCTCCTGGTTCTGAACTTCCATTCCTGTTTCTCTGGGTCGCTGTCTGTGTTTCTATACCTTCCCGGGCCTCTGTTCCCATCTCTGTGAATCTGCCCTCTTCTCTGAGTTTCTGTCTACCTGTCTCTGGCGCCCCCGTTTCTGTTCTTTCCTTCTGGGTCCCTTTCTCTCTCTGGGGTCTCTTCCCTCCGACCCCTGGCCCCTGTTTCCTCTTTCTCTGGATCTCCGCCATATGGGTCTCTATGCCCCTTTCTCCCGTGACTCCGACTCGGGGTCTCTTCTCCGTCTCTATCTCCTCTACCCGACCCCCTCTTTCCTGGACCGCAGGTCTCCTGAAGGAAAAGGAGCGCAAGGCGGCTCTGCCAGCAGCCACAGTCCCGGGGCCGAGCCTGGAGACCGTAGGCCCGACAGATGCTCCAGCTGGGGCAGTGGTGGGCGGCGGGTCCCCACGGGGGCGTCCAGGGACTGTGCCTGGCCCGGGCCTGTTGGCGCCGCTGCTGTGGGAGCGCACGCTGCCGTTCGGCGACGTGGAGTACATGGACCTGGACGCCTTCCTCCTGGAGCATGGGCTCCCGCCCAGCCCACCGCCTCCCGGTGGCCCGTCGCCGGAGCCCTCGCCCGCGCGTACGCCCGCACCTTCCCCAGGGCCAGGCTCCTGCGACTCAGCTTCCCCCCGCTCCTCGCCTGGGCACGCCCCCGCCCGGGCTGCCCTAGGGGCCGCCAGCGGCCACCGCGCAGGTGCGGTGAAGGGGCGGGGCTTAGTGCCAAGGGGGCGGGGCTGTGCGATGCTAGGGTCTGGGACCGTGGGACGCTGGCTGCTGGCCTTATTCCCAGTCTCCTTGACCGATGTCTTGGGAGGGACCTTGTAGTCTTGTGTCCTCTAATGGATCAGGGACTTGGTGCCCTGGATCCATAGAGAGACTTGGACCCCCAAATTCTAGGAAGTCTGCCCAATGAATATAAATTGTGTGGATTTTTCTGTGGAACGCGGGAACAAAGAAAGGGTCCGGATACTAGTGGAGCCGGGACTGCAAACTAGAAAAAAGGGAGTTATTTACTGAGTGGACCGGGCTCTAGAATCTGGGGCCAGAATCGGTGGAAATGGGATAGCACAAGAATTGCTAGGCCCTTTACAGGGGCTAAGTCGAGGATTGGTCACAGACTTCTGTTTACCCAGGACGTAGGGGACTGTACTGGCAGCTCCAGTGTTCGGTGATACTGCCCCAAGTCCCAGGATCTTGATGCTAGGGCCTGCAGTTAGGGCGAGGGCCACGATTCTTACATTCCTGGGAAAGGAGGGCCCTGAGATCCCAGATCGTGGCATCCTCGTGGCTAGACCTTTAGGAGCCGAAGCTCAACCAGAGAGCAGGGGGTCGGGATCCTTTGGAGGTTGAGAGGTTGGAGCTAAGACACCGGAAGAAACAGGAGTAAAGGTCTTCCCCTTGGAGCACATTGGGGTTTCCAGGGATGGACTAACAGGTCTGGGATTCCAGGCCCACCTGCCCTTCTTGCGGCTTCAGGGCAGAACCAGGGCCCACCCCTTCCCGTCGGCACATTCCCGCGCCACGTGAGTCCTCCCGTCCTTCTCCTGTGCTTCGCGCACGCGCCGTCACGCGCGAGGGGGCGGGGCCTGGGGAACGTGAGGGCGCCCGTGGGGAGGAGGGGGAGGGCGGAAGGGGGCAAGGAAAGCAGGCGTCGGCACGTGACTCAGCCCTGAACCTGTGTCCTCAGCTGGCCCCTGCTAGCTCTCGCTTAAAGGCACAGGCGCCTCCTTCGGAACCAGTCTTATGGAACCTCCGAGCCCTTTCCGCTTCTCTTCCCTAACCCTTCAAATCCAGTACTCTTAGAGTCTAATTCTTTCAATGCGGTAGATTCTTTTCTTTGGACAGCCTCAGGTCTGATTTATGTGTTGTGTAGAGAAAGTCTGTTATGACCGGGTCTCAGTTTTCCTGTTTGTAAATGTAGAGTTGCCTCCATGATGTCTAAGCATCTTTATGGCTTAGGGAACCTTCATTTTGGGGGAGGTTAATCCCTTGTAGTCTTTATGCTAGGTTCTACAAGGACCATCCATGGGCAAATATAATACCTGGGCAGAGGGTACGTTCTGGGAGCCCTCTTCCCAAAATAAATACTCAGCTTACATATTTGTTTCCTCAAGGCTTAACCTCTCGGGACACACCCAGTCCTGTGGACCCAGACACGGTGGAGGTGCTGATGACCTTTGAACCCGATCCAGCAGATCTTGCCCTGTCAAGCATTCCTGGCCATGAGACCTTTGACCCTCGTAGACATCGCTTCTCAGAGGAGGAACTTAAGCCCCAGCCAATCATGAAGAAGGCAAGGAAAATCCAGGTGCCAGAGGAGCAGAAGGTGAGCACCACCAGATGTGGGACACTGGCTTGGTCAGAGGCAGGTTCCACAGCTAGTAATGGCCTTTATTCACAGTCAGGTCTGGGCTTCTCACTAGGATTAGCTCTCAGCCTCTCCTGACCCAGCCAAGGATTAGTCCTCATTGGCCATGGGGGAAGGGGTTTGGGTCTGAGATTTATGAAGCCAGGATTATTTGGGATACAGACTTAACCAGCCTGACTATGGTTGTGCAGGCTCAGAGCTTCTCTTATGACTTGGACCCAGAACTTCAAATGGGGAAGGCCTTAGGCTCCATATCAGACTGTGGACCATCTCTCTTTAGCAGCCAGCCCGGCTGTGCCTGGGCCTTTGAACTCGGACTTGGTTCATCTGTCTAGTGTTTGTATCTGCCTAGGATGCACACTTTGCCAGCCTTGCTGGGCCTTGTTTCCTGGGCCTGGACTTCTCACTGGCAGAAGGCTTCATTCACCATTAGCAGTCAGTGCCACATTCTGACCTGAGACGTTTTGGGCAATCACTGCATCTTTGTAGCATTCTGATTTTGCCATTGCCGGAGTCTTCCCCAGCAAGCTATCCCTCAGCTTCTTTTGCAAGACTTTGCTGTGCCCTTGTGCAAGACATAAGAACTTGAAGCCGCTAGGACTGGCCTGTAAGCAAAATCTAGATCAGTGGTTTCCTCTGCTATAGGGCCCTGTTACTAGGGACTGGATTTGCCCTAACGAACAGGTACTAGACTTGAATTAAATGTGGGAGAAGGGAGTGTCACTGTGAGCTGGGTGGTCCTTTTTACTAAGGAATAACCAAATTCCAGGATTGGAGGAACATAGGTATAATCCTCTAGTAAGGTTTTGGGACAGTCCTCTTTGCTAAGAGATAACTCTTCTTTCAACCAGGTTCTGTTAGGGAGGAGGCACTTTTCTGGCCTCAGTTCAAGACCAAGCAGGTCAGAGACTGGCCATAGTTATTAGGACCACTTAGACTTCACTTTTGTTTGCTGAGGAAGGATGAGGTTGCCTTGGCAACCAGGTCAAAAGGGTCCCAACTCTGGGAAGATTTTATGGGACATCAAACCCCATCACTTAGAGGACCTAAGCTTTCCTTAACAACTAGGATCTGGAAAGGTAATGATGCATAGGGCAGTGCTTTTCACTGGGAGAAGCTCTCAGACTGTGAAGGCCTTGTTACCAGGAAACAAGCATCCTTGGCAACCAGGAGCTAATTGCAGGCCTTTTGTCAAATGCAGAGGGCCTGGGTCTGCTTGAAGACTTGAAGCCCAGTTGCTGGGAGTAGGGTTTATCTCATGCCTTAGCTGTTTCAAGGGCCCTGCAGGGGAGACCTTGGGTACTCATACCAGCAGAGACCATTATCCTTTAGGCCCCCCGCTGGGCAAGAATCAGCCCTGAGGGTCTGTTAGAAACTACTGTTCCCTTTCACTCTTGCTGAGGCCTGGGTCCCTTTCATTTCTCCACCCCTAGGACGAAAAGTATTGGAGCCGGCGGTACAAGAACAATGAAGCAGCCAAGAGGTCCCGCGATGCCCGGCGGCTCAAGGAGAACCAGATATCCGTGCGGGCGGCCTTCCTGGAGAAGGAGAACGCCCTGCTGCGGCAAGAGGTGGTAGCTGTGCGCCAGGAGCTGTCCCACTACCGCGCTGTGCTGTCGCGCTACCAGGCCCAGCACGGGGCCCTGTGAGGGTGACCCCCACCCCTATCTGGTGGAAGTCTTCTCCACCTCTCTGACTAGTTCCCTAACCCTGTTCCCTCTGCCCTGTGCCCCAGGGACGTGATGCAGATAAAATACATTTATATTTTTAAGAAAAAGCAAGCCTCCCCCCCTCCCTCGTGGGGGTGGGGAGGGTATCTGTGTGCCCCCGGCACGTGGGGGAGCCCATCCTCCCACGCCTCCGTTAACACGTTAACGACCCTGAATAAATCTTGAGAACCCCAGAGCCAGTTGTTGTGGAGGCGGCGGCAGCTCCCTGGCCCCAGTTCAACGCCAGCAGGTCTTACTGGCTATAGCCCGAGGGCAGATCTGAGCTGCTTCCATAGAAGGCAGGAGCTGCCGTCGTGTGGAGAAAGCGTAGAAGGTCTGGGAGGAATGAAGCGACTGTCTTTATTGCATAGACCTTTTCAATTGCTTTTTAGATTGGGAATTGAGGACGCACGTGAGACAGAACAGGGGATGTGAATTTTCTAACCCTCACTCGCGGAGGAGGAACATTAGTGCAAATCCGAACGCCGGCCCCAGGGAACCTGCCCTTTCTGGGCTGATCGGCCAGTTAAGTGGAGGCACGGGAGTGGACAGGCCGAGACCCGGGCCCTGACTGGCCAGTTAACTAAGGCCTACCCTTAGGCTCGTACATTCCAGGCACCGTCAATGGGCAACACGTAAGATAGGCTCCGCCCTCAGCCGCCCGGGCTTCTATCCATCTGGTTGCTAGGGTCTGAATTAACTCCACCCACTAAGGGCGGCCAAATCTTTGAACGCCAGGCCCCACCCTCCTAGTCAGGCACTACTCTTGGGATGAGGCCATTTACATCTAACCTTGATGACACCAACCCATGAAATTCAGACCACCCTCCAGCATCACATCCAGTAACCTGAGGGCGGGTGCAATCCTGAGATAGGGCGAGAGCCCTTGCACAAGGGAACCACTATCCCAAATTTGGCAGCCTGGCCTAAGCCCCCAGCGCAGGCTCTGCTCTCCTGGAATGTAGGCCCGCCTCTGGCGGGCCCCAAGTTTGATTAGGTTCAGGGCTCCCGCTCAAGACAACCAGGAGGCCCAGTGAGCAGTGTACCGAGGCCAGGATGCATCTGCGCCTGCAGTGGCCCATACTCCACCTGCTCCCCGTCCACTGTAAGCACACCGCGAGGGGTGAGCGGCTCGAGGCGGAAGGCACGGGCTGCAGCGTAGCCCAGCTGCGGACAGCCCATGGTGAAGTGGCTACCACGCTCCATGGCCAGGAAAAGGCGCAGTAATGTGGCCCGTGAGATGCCACTTCGCACCCAACACAGATGCACCAGGCCATCGTCAAAACGTGCGTGGGGAGCCGCTACTAGGTCTGCGCCCAGGTGGCTAGGGGATATGGCCAGCATGAGCACAAAGTCTCCTTCCAGGGTCACCCAGTTTTGGGGCAGCGGAGTGCCCAGTGGAGGCAGCAAGTGGTCGGGTGGGCCCCAGGTAGAGACTGCTACTGGGGCATCAGGGTTGGGAGGCGGGAGGCCAGAAGATGGGGGGGTTTCTGGAGGATCTTTGTTAATAGGTGAGAGTAGAGCTGCCTTGGGTGAGGACAGCAGAGGATCTGGGGACAGTGGAGCATCCCCAGCCCCACCCCAGTCCCCAGCTAGCTCTGGGCCCCCACCATTGAGGGACAGGATGGGCAGGGGTTCAGGAGAGTCAGGGGAAGCTAGGGCAGGCTGAGGCAGGGGCAGGGGCAGGTCAGAAACTGAGCGATGCAGGGGTGAGTGGGCCACAGGTGGGGCTGAGTCTGGGGCCAGGGTCAGCTCTGACTTGGCTCGGGGCAGGCCATGGGTGGAGGTGGGTGAGGCAGGCTCCCCAGTGGCAGGGAGATAGGAGAGGCGTCCACGGTAGGTATGCAGGGTGGCAAGGCCCAGCACTGTGCCCAGTGTGAAACGGGCACTACCTAGGGCCCTGAAGCGCTCGCTTTGGATATCCACATCAGATACGAAGCCCCAGGCCACAGACAGGAAGGAGAAACAGCGGGAGCCTGAGGCCAGTGTCACGGAGAGCAGGTCCAGTGGGTGGCCACCACCCCGGCAGAGCAGCAGTGAGCAATTGAGCAGCAAGTCGAGACCCAGGGCTGGCTCAAACCTTCACAGCCAGAAAAGGATGGACACCGTGGAAAAGAGCAGATGGGATTTGGTGAGAGCAGAACACAGGGCAGGAGAAAGACATAGGCAGGGGAGAAACAGGCAGAGACCAGGGAGGCCTGGGCCCTGAGCCTACCACAGCTGTCTGGTCCCCTCCAGGTAGACTCTTTTTACTGGGCTAGACTCCCTGTCAGTTCTTTTTTTTTTTGAGATGGAGCCTCACTATGTGGCCCTCAGTAGAGTTCCATGACATCGTAGCTCACAGAAACCTCAAACTCTTAGGCTCAAGCGATTCTCTTGCCTCAGCCTCCTGAGTAGCTGGGACTACAGGTGCCCACCACAACACCTGGCTATTTTTAGAGATGAGGTCCCACTCTGGCTCAGGCTGGTCTCAAACCTGTGAGTTCGGGCAATCCACCTGCCTTGGCCTCCTAAAGTGCTAGGATTACAGGTGTGAGCCACTGCGCCCAGCCTCCCTGATAGTTCGTTCATTCCATAAGCACTGAGTGCTTTCTGTGTACTAGGCTCAGTTCTAGATTCTAGGGCAGTGGTTTTCAACTGGTGTGCTGTGAAAATTGTTATGAAGATCATTAAGTAAATTATTTTTGAAAGAAGTTCAAAGCACAGTAAGTATATTCCTTTTACTTTTTTTTTTGAGACAGAGCCTCAAGCTGTCACCCTGGGTAGAGTGCCTTGGCATCACAGCTCACAGCAACCTCCAACTCCTGGGCTCAAGCGAGTCTCATGCCTCAGCCTCCCAAGTACCTGGGACCACAGGTGCCTGCCACAACGCCCGGCTATTTTTTGGTTGCAGCCGTCATTGCTGTTTGTCGGGCCCGGGCTGGATTCGAACCCGCCACCTTAGGTGTATGTGGCTGGCGCCTTAGTCACTTGAACCATACGTGCTGAGCCACCTTTTACTTTTTTTTGATTAACATAAATTAAGTGTGCCACGAAAGTTTAACTGTAGGTTCAAGTGTGCCGTGACACAAAAAAGGTTGAAAAACACTGCTCTAGGGATACAGCTGGACATAAGCCAGCTAAAAATGCCCAGGAGCTGTGGGGGCATCCCACAGCCAAACTGGCTTACTTGACTGACAGTGGCTTTGGCTGAGGGAGAGAGATAGGAGGTCTCTGTTACTCCAGAAGGGTTCACCCCTCCCTTGTAGTATCCTCAGCCTCTCCAGCAAGAGCATCCAACTTACCCCCCACGCTGGTTCACTGCTCCGGCCAGCGCATTGCCTGAGCCACAAGGGAGAATACCAACAGGCATCTTCACAGCCTCTTCCCAGTCGGGGCGATCTAGGAGCCCGTTCAGCACCTAGAGTTGGGAGAGACCAGCTACCTGGGTCCTGGTCCCAGGCTAGACAGTCCCCCCAGAGCTCACAGCTAGGGTTCTCCTGCTGTACCTCATAGAGCAGCCCATCTCCTGAGACCGTGACAATGCCATCCCACTCACTCAGGCACAGTCCCTGGACCAGCTCCCGGGCGTGGTTCTGTCGTTCTAATATGGGAAACCAGGCAGTTAAGCATGCTGTCCCACCCACCACTCTGCTCTCCTGGGACTCAGGAGTCCTAACCCCAGCCCCTTACCTCCCATCCTGACACGGCCCTTACCTGTCTGTATGAGGTTGAAAGATAGTCCAGCTTCAGAAATCATGGGCAGCACGTGGTTCCTACACCACTGCCAGGCCAGGCCCCGCCCCCCAGCCGGATTGACCAGCAGGAGCAATCGAGGTGGCCTCGGCAGAAGCTCAGGAGTGATCTCTGCAGAGAGAGGGTACAGTCTACATAGGCCAGAAACCTAGCCCCTCACCTTGGAAACAGTCCCTTCAAACAGCCCCTAATGGAATTGGTGGAGGGCTGGTATCTGGAGTATACTGGGACTTTCCCTCTCCTTGCCCTCACCTGGCTGGCCAGACCCAGGTATACAGCCCCCCCCCCAACCCGCCGCCGCCCAGGTGCTAAGACAAAGGCAGAGCTTGGGTGTGAAACCAAATGCCCTCTGGACCTATGTGTGGGACGAAGGCACAGAAGCTGTGGCTCCCACTTTCCTCACCCAAACACCTGTTAGCCATGGTCAGGTTACTTTGGGGTGGGAGGTTCCCTCACTGTTACCATCTGTCTGTTAGGGGGCCCTAGGAAGCCAGCAGGTCCTTGGAGTACCAAAGAGGTCTCCCTAGAGCCAACTGAGGACCCTGGAGGCAGAAGGCTCTATCTGAAAGCCTTCTCTGACCTTCTACAGGCTGGATTAGAGCCCCCTTGTGGTTCCTGAGATGCCCTAGGAGACCTCTGTTGTACCTATCTCTCTGGGTGGGTGCTTGATCATGTCTCAGCTTGCTGCTCTCACCAGCCTGGGAGCTGACTCACCTGTAGTCAAGACTCACAGAAAGGGGTAGGGGACAGAGACAGAAATCTAGCCAGAGCAGCAGATATGAATCATTTTCTCTGACTGTGTTTTTGTTCCTTCTGTAGCCCATCCCTGTGTATGTATCACTCTTTCATAGACCCAGAGAAACATATCACACAGACAGACACACAGGAAAATAGAGACAGATATGTCCATAGAGGGAGTTATGCAGAGATAGCAAGGTGGCTCTAGGACAGAACAGTTGCCCAGAACCTCACCCCCATCCCCAGGCAGCGGCAGTCCTCGGAGCAGACATGTGAGGGCAATGGCCCAGCGCTGGGCCTCAGCTCGATTCTCTTCATAAGTGGCTGCCCCATCTGCCTGGAAGGTGCGGGTGGCTCTGCGCCGGCCCCCACGCCGGCCCCGAGGGTAGGTGTAGATGCAGAAGTAGGCTGCTGAGTCTGAGGGGCTGCGGCTTCGCAGGGTGCAGCAGCCTGAGACCTCAGCCAGTGGGACCAGGCCACCACGAGGCCGGGCTTCAGGTTTTGGACGCAGCCGCTGTATGTGCAGGGCCTGTGATGTGAGAGTGAGGGCGAAGCGTGGGCCACGGGCTGGGTAGGAGCCAAACTCGCCATGTAGGAGCGGAGTGATGGCAGACAATGGCGGTGGTGGCGGGGCCATGGCCTCAGCCTTGTCCAGGGTGCTCCTAGGCCTGTGGCCCCAGCTCCCAGTCAGCTCCTGGTCCGGCCTCTGTGGGAAGGTAGGAGGGCAGGGGTCAGAGTTCAGGACCCCCATGGTGAGTGTAGGAGGGGAAGGGCCTGTGGAGAGGAGACAATGAGGGGGAGGTGGCAGGTGAGACAGCAACACCAAAGACAGACAGGCCCAGACAAGTGTGGGGAGAGCCTGAGGATGCAGGGCAGAGATGAGCTGGGCAGGAAGGCCAACATCCTGAAGGGCCCAGAGACCCAGGAATCTAAATGTTCATTTATTCTCCAAATAAGTATTTACTTCCCTCTATGTGCAATTGTAATGCTAGTGGCCCTGCAAACACAGCAGGGAACAAAACAGACAACAATCCCTGCCTTCATGGGGTTTATATTCGAATCAGAAAACAGAAAAACAAGATAAAGGAGTAAAATATACAGTGTGGTAAATTTTCTTTGGAGAAAATTAAGGCACAGGAGGAGGACTGGATGATGGAGACCTAAGCAGAGATAGATATGCAACCACTGAGACACCACATATGGAATCACCTCCAGGTGTAGTGAACAGGTTACACACAAACAAAAGAGGGGAAGGTCTGACAGCCAGAGAAACACTGGGAGAAGACAAACAGCTGGGATAAGAAGATACTTGAGAATAAGAGTTTCTCACCCCAGAGAGAAACTTAACAGAAGAAGAGCAGGGAGGAGAGGCAGGAAGTAGGAATGCAGACAGCTAGAGAAAACGGATGTGACACAGAGGGACTAAGGGGTCAGAGAGGAGCTACATGCAAGCACCTGCAACGGATAGGGGCCAAGAGCTGGTCCCTGAGCACTGACCTGGGTGTCTGGCCGCCTGCTCTCCAGGGAGGGGGTGGGAGCTGGGACTGAGGTCCCTTCCCCAAAGGCTCTCCCCTGCCCTCTGCCCAGCTTCTGCCTCCTCCTTTCTGCTCACCTTTGTTCCTCACTGCCCCGCCCAGCTAACTACCAACTCCTGCCCCTTACCTTCCCCAGGCCCAGAACAGCCCAAACACACCCCCATCTGTGGACTCGCCTTCCAGAATTACCTCTGCCCCCTGTCCTGGGCAGCTCCTGCAAGCCCAGGGTGTCTGCTCCACCCCCTGACTTGCACTGGCTCCCTCAAATCAGACTCAAGCACCGAGCCCTATATGTCCTCCAGTCCTGGGCCTGGGTTTGTCCCTGGGTATCCGAGGTCTGAGCCTGGGTCTCCATCCATTGGTCCCCAATCCAAACGCCTGAGTCTTTGTGCCTGGGTCCCTCGGTCCCGAGCCTCCATTGCCACTCTATTTCCAGAACCCAGTCCCAGGCCTGGAATTCCATCCCTCGATCCCTCAATCCCAGTTCTCGTTTTCCATTTCCATCTCCCACCCGTGGTACCCCAGTCCCAGGTCTGCGTCTCTGCTCCTCTCGGTCCCTTAGTCTTCCGACTCTGGTCCCTGTACCGACCCCCGCACCCGCCTCACACGCCAGGTCCTCCTCCAGGAAGCCCCTCAAGTCCGCACCAACCGCCCCCATTACACCCAGGGGTGGGGGGAGGGTGTGCATCCACTCAGCCAATGGCCGTGCGATCGGCCTGAGTCACACCAATAAGAGCACAAGGGGGTTGGGCCAGCCAAATCGCGAGCTTGGCGCAGGGGCCTGCAGCGAAAGAGCCGGCAACTGGGCGGGGCATCGCACTCAGTGACACTGGGCGCCATCGTAGGTTAGGGCAGACACGCAGCAGAGGAGGCATCGCAACCCCGAAGGCAGCGTTATTTCCACCATCTTTGTTGAGGGCATGTGGTTCCGACCCATCCATTGTGTTCAAAAAAGAAAAGAGGTGTGGGGGAGGAGGTCCTTAACTGCAGAGGCAGAGATCCTACCACAAAGGCCCAGAGACATGCAAGGGTACTAAAGGTACAGATTAAATAAGAGAGTTGGGGTCAGGGGAGAAAAAAAGAAGTGCTTATTTTTCAGGCAGTTACAGAATCAGAAAGACACAAAGAAAAGAAGATATACAGTCAAAAAGACCAAAATAGTGGGATTGAAAATGTGCAAGGTAAAGACACAGAAAACCCAGAAAATGACAGACATAGAGACAGATGGAGAAAGACACTTCTGTAATGAAAATAAGGAAGGAGAGACTCATTAATTCACAAGCTCAAACCAGAGTGGAGACAGCATGAGATAAACATCTGCCCAGTGAATGACCCCATCACATGACAAGTCTGAGACACAAAGAGAGAGACCTCTAGGTTAAACGTAAGGGAGGGAGAAAATGTTGGAAGCCCAGAGGTTGAGAGGAACTGAGACAAAGAGAAAGTGAAGATGTTGACAGATACACAGAGGCAAAGACACAGTGAAATTTAAATAAAGTAAGGTAAATGGCTTGGCACCTGTAGCTCAGCAGCTAGAACGCCAGCCACATACACTGGGTTCGAACCCTGCCCTGGCCTGCCAAACAACAACAACTACAAAAAAAAAATTAGCCGGCAAGTGTCGGGTGCCTATAGTCCCACCTACTTGGGAATCTGAGGCAAGAGAATTGCATAAGCCCAAGAGTTTGAGGTTGCTGTGAGCCATGATGCCACAGCATTCTACCGAGGGCAACACAGTGAGACTGTCTCAAAAAAAAAAAAAAAAGAAAAGAAAAGAAAGTAAGGTAAAGATCTAGGAAGGCTGGCTGCAGTGGCTCATGCCTGTAATCAGCACTTTGGGAGGCTGAGGCAGGCGGATTGCCTGAGCTCAGGAGTTCAAGACTACGCTACGCAAGAGCAAGACCCCAGTGTTTAAAAAATAGCCTGGTGTTGTGGTGGGTGCCTGTAGTCCCAGCTACTTGGGAGGATGAGGCAAGAGGATTGCTGGAGGTCAAGAGTTTGAGTTGCTATGGAGCTATAACTCCACAGCACTCTATTGTCTAGGGTGACAAAGTGAGACTCTGTCTCAAAAAAAAAAAAAAAAGATATATAAGGAAACCTAGAAACAGAATTGCAGAGAGAGAAGGAGTCACTAGAGACAAATGTGGGGAAAAGTTCACTTATTGCCAAACAGCATAACTTGCATACAACCCAAGTAGCAACAGCATCAGATAATATGTGCCAAAGAATGATGCAGGGAAAAATGGGGACACACCACCTGAGCTTGGGACCCTGGAAGAAAAAAGGCAGAGACACTCACCAAAAAGGCTAAGACTCAAACACAGAAACGAAATCAGAGATGAGGGAATGGGAAGGAGGAGGTGGAAAAGAAGGGGACCTCTAGGCTAGAAAGACTATGACCCCTGGGAAGCCCCTGAATTCTTTACCTCAGCTACCCTGTCTGCAAAATAGAGAGACAAGATCTGAGATCACAGATAGAATGCCTCAGATAAAAGGTATTCCCACAGTCTCATGATCTTGGCTTTCAAATGGACACTTACCTAGTCCTGCTGTTCCTCTCCTTCAAGGTTTCCATTCATTTGTTGGCTCTTTGCTCTGCTACATCAGCAGGATTGTAGCCCCTGGATCTTATGCCATAGGAGGGTGGCACAGGCAAGGAGTTAGGCCTTGCTGTCTAGGCCTGGCCTTCGTCTCTGTGAAGGAGAGGTAAATACATAGGAGTATTGAAAGCCAACTGCAGGAGATCCTGACAGGCTTAATGTGCCTGAGGATCAAGAGGCAATGACTTCCCTGAGAAAGAAAAAGACAAGAGAGCTACTTCACTGCCCCATCCAGTCCATCTGGTTGCACCCAATAAGTGCTTGTTTTTGTTTGTTTGGGTTTTTTTTTTCCTGAGACAGTCACACTGTTGCCCGGGTTAAAGTACCATGGCATCATAGCTCACAGCAACCTCAAACTCCTAGGCTGAAGCAATCCTCTGGCCTCAGTCTCCTGAGTAGCTGGGACTACAGGTGTAAGCCATCACACCTGGCTAATTTTTCTATTTTTAGTACAGACACAGTCTCCCTCTTGCTCCTGCTGGTCTGGAACTCCTGAGCTCAAGCAATCTACCTACCTCAGCTGCCCGGAGTGTTAGGATTACAGGTGTGAGCCACTGCAACTGGCCTCCATTAAGCGCTATTAACAAGAGTGAGGGCTAATTTTTATCAAGTACTTATTATGTGCAAAACACTGACCCAAGCATTTTTATTAACTTACATAATCCTGGAAAACACCCTACATGCCAGGCATATTTTTTTTTTTAAGACAGTCTTATTTTGTCACCCAGCTAGAGTGCCATGGCCTCAGCCTAGCTCACAGCAACCTCAAACTCTTGTGCTCAAGCAATCCTTCTGCCTCAGCCTCTAGAGTAGCTGGGACTACAGGCTCACACCAGCATGCCAGGCTAATTTTTCTAATTTTAGTAGAAACGGGGTCTGGATTTGCTCAGGCTGGTCTCATACCCCTGGTTCAAGCAATCCTCCTGCTATAGCCTCCCAAAGTCCTAGGATTACAGGCATGAGCCACCAGCCTGGCTGCCAGACCTATTATTATCACCCCCCTTTTGTGGATAAGAAAAGGCCCAAGGTCACAGCATAGTTAAATAGCAGGATTTGAATATGGTTGCAGCCTTGCAAGGCTATATCTTACTATCTCTCTATGTCTCTGCTTCTACTCGGGTCTCTATCCCTCACCTCTTTCTAAAGCTCCTTCCCACCCCCTGGGCCTCCATTTCCCCTATCCACTGGGTCTCCATTCTTCCTCCTCTCATAAACGTCTCTCTCCCTCTAGGTCTGTCTTCCCTTCTCTTTCAGGAGCTGTTTATCCATTCTCCCCTCTACTCCATCTCCCCAGGAGGGCTTTAGTGTGCCTTCTCTGAGCTACAATACCATGCACATCCCTCACACCAAAACTGCTGGGCCAGTTGAAACTCTCTGGCTGGAAAAGGCAGCCCACCGATGAAGGAGGCTGAGGAGGGGCCAAGGAGGAGTCATCTGGGTATAGGAGAAAAAAAATGAACCAAAAAGGTGGAAACACAGGGTGCTATAAAATGAACTGCAGCAAGATGGTCTCGGGCTAGACCTCAAGAAGGACTTCCGAAGCCTGGGCTGCGCCTAGAAAGTGAAGCGCGAGATAAGGCAGAGGTGAACCTGATAAGGAAACGCTCATGTGGGGTCAAAAGTATTCCCAGGCCCGGACTAGCGCGGCCAGCTCCGCCTCCTCACCTCCAATACTCGGCCAGCCGGGTCCTCCAGCAGCCACCGAGAGACTGTCGGGGTCGGGCAGAGCGTCACCCCGCGACGAGTCCTCCTAGCTCCACGCATCTCTGTCGCTCCCAAATCCCTTTCTTCCGGAAAGCTATAGAGAATAGGTACTGGATAGGGCCAGAGAGGCCCCTGACGTACTGGCCCTTCCCTCTTTGCGCTTCTTCCTCTTTGGTGGTTTCTCCGCCTTATTTTGCTTTCGCCTATCTAGCCAGTCCTCCAATTCATCACAGAGAAGCCCCCCCCCCTAGTGGTAGAGCGCCGTGTCGCGCTCATGTGACGTCACCACAGCGACCAGCTCTGTAGGTTTTCCCCGCCCATTTCAACTTCTTTCTCTCTTTCCGGACCTGGCTGAGAGGGTGTCGCCATCATGGTGAGCTAGCTTTATGGCTTTCGGGTTCTGGCCATCCGCCACCATCCGCCGTGGTCTCGAGCTGGGACCATGCCGGAAGGAGACAAGGGTTCCGTGAATGTCCGAAGGAGTCAGCTCCCGAAGTGGGGGGCTACTCTGGGAGCCCAGAGACCAGGGATGGGTCCGAGTTAGCCTCTGGTTCTTCCTGTAATGTTATAATCATCTGGGAGGCTGAGTGATATGATTGGGGGGTCACAAAGGAAGTGGTTGAGCCAGGATTCGTCCCCAGATGGTTGGCTCCGCAGCCATTCTTGACAACTTGCCTTTGCTGCCGGCGCTCAGACCTGTCACTTCTTAGTCTGGAAAGTTGGATTCTTGGGGGCATGATCTAGAGTTAAATACTCGGGGTTTTAGAGCCAGGCGGGCCTGTGAGTATCAGATCTCGACCCACTTGTGTTTATGATTTCACGAAGGAAGTAGTAATCTTCTCTTAGAGGTTTGTGAGCTTAGAAAGAAATAGTAGAAAGTGCTCAGCTGTTAATACTACACAATCTAAAAAACTTAAGTTACTTAGAAAATGAGGGTGAGAATCATGGGCTTCTCAACGTTAAAGTGGAGATAACAAACTGTCTGTATTGTTCGCTTATAAATATTTGTTGGCATTATTTAATACAGCTACTTCATTAAAGTGTTTGAGGGTACTGTGTGCCATGTGCAGAAATACTTTGCATGTATCCCCCCTTTCCATGGATGGATCATTCGTGGTCCAAGGTCTCCCAGTGGTGGATCTGGGATTAGAGCTGGTGTGTCAAGAGTTTGGGGCCCAGCTCAGTCTTGGAGATAAGTAGTAATTGTGACCATTTGTGGGGTAATTGGCCTGATTCAAAATTGCATCTGTGGTTACCCTTTCATCCTTGCAGGGAGTCGATATTCGCCACAACAAGGACCGAAAGGTTCGTCGCAAGGAGCCTAAGAGCCAGGACATTTACCTAAGGCTGTTGGTCAAGGTGAGTTTGGGGCTTCAGGTGTTTAGATAGGATCACCCCAGATCTGTGACTCAGATTCTCCATTCAGTGTTGGTACCAGTCTTTTCTTAGGGGCCTGCAGGGCAGGCTTCCACGTCTGGTCTGTTCCAGAGTGCCAGTGTTTTTAGCTTCTAGGCTATATACAAATGGGGAGCGGGCTTTGTAGTCCTTGACCAGGAAAGACTTGGCCCACAAATACTCTCCCTTGAGTTCCTTGGGATGGGGAGAAAGTGATAAACCTTGTAGTCCCCAAACCGTGTTTGCCCTTCAATTACAAAGTTGTAAGGGGAATGGGCTGTCCCAGGTTCTCCTTACTTTTCCTTTCCTTTCCAGTTGTACAGGTTTCTGGCCAGACGAACTAACTCTACCTTCAACCAGGTTGTGCTAAAGAGGTTGTTTATGAGTCGCACCAATCGGCCACCACTGTCTCTTTCCCGGATGGTAAGTGGCAGGTGCAGGCAGCATAGGAGGACCTGGGGAGCCAGTGGGCCTTCTCTGTCTGGAAGGGAGGGGATAGACTTAGAGCACTGCAGTAACAATCTGAGTGTCTGCTGGATCCTGGGCCAGGAGGTGGGAGTGGTCGCAGTGGCTTCATGAGACTGCTTTAAGGCTTCAAGGCATGCAAGAGGAGTTTTACATGTTAAAAGCCTTTTATAGGTAATATATGTTGAACAGTCTGTGCTTGCATTTTATAATCTGGAGATTTTCCCAAGCTAGTCCTGAGATAAGGCCTGTTGTAGTTTGAGGGATGTGAGTGTGTTTAGCCTATTTAGGGGATACAACTATCCTGGTTTGGGGGCATTTATGTGCATCCTCCTCTGTCCCCCCCCCCCCCAAGATCCGGAAGATGAAACTTCCTGGCCGGGAAAACAAAACAGCTGTGGTTGTGGGGACCATAACTGATGATGTGCGGGTTCAGGAAGTGCCCAAACTGAAGGTG